GATAAGGTTTCACGCAACGTTCATTTTATAGGGGTGATCCCGTGCGACTATTTAGCAAAAACACCGTTAAGAAAATTACCTGCAATGGCTATAATCAACACACATCCTTCAGGTCTTCCGGGTGAACATTGGCTAGCTATATACATAAACGAAGTTGGTGTGGGGTGTTTTTTTGACAGCTTTGGTAATAAGCCGAATGATGTCCGTTTTCCTGCTTTTATCGATGATTTTTTAAGGCTAAATTGTGTAGTTGTACAATATTCTGCCAAGCAGGTGCAAGATTATTCATCAGACACATGCGGGCAGCATTGTGTGTTCTTTCTTTATCATATGGCAAAAGGAAAATGTTATGATTACATTCTGAAACTGTATAGCAATGATTTTGTTAAAAATGACAAACGTGTTTCAACTTTTGTAAAAAAATTAAAGCGATCAAGGTGTAATGAAAATGTTTTCAATTGTGTTCAATGTGTGCAGCTGGGTGCTGTGTTTATGTCTCATGCATGAAACAATTAATAAAAAAACTAAAAGAAACTTTAAGAATCCATCATATGTCTTTTTTATTATTATTATACATACATACATACATGCATACATACATACATTATTACATAAAAAACATTCATTACAAAACTAAAAAGTCTGGAAAAAGAGAACGATGAAAGTACATAAATTAAGATACTGATATTAAAAAGCCATCCACCGACTCCTGTCAAAAGTGGGAGATTCAAAAAAGGTGTCTTCTAGATAACTAGAATGTGTCATATGACTGGACTGTTGCGTTTTTAGTTTTTTACCTTTTTTAAAGGAAACAGACGTGGGGGATTTTGATTTGTTTTTAAAAGAGTTGATTGTATGTCTAACCCCATGATTTGGTACCATTGAATACGGTATGTTTAAATCAGCAAAGGCTTCTAAAAACTCATACCACCCTATAGGTCTTCGATCATCGGCAATCTTTTGCGGAGCCGTGATACTTTTAACTAAATCCAACATATGTGAACCAGGGATGGTTTTGCCTTTAAACATGAATTCGCCTGATTCTGACCAAGAAGCATGATCTTTGCTTTTAGACATTTTGTCTAAAATGTAACGAACATTTTTTTCATTCCTCTGAGGAATATTCTTTAGAATATCATCAACAATTAAATCCTCCACTGCTCCTATGGTAATCGTCTTCTGTGGATCTTCTTTATCGGTATGATCATGTTGAGGGAGTGACAATTTTAAAGTGGTCCTATCCATGTCTCCCTGTTTGGTAATTGTTAAATACCTCTGCAAAACAGCTGTGTACAGCTTGGCTTTTTCATGCGGGTCGATATCGGACCTGTACAAAATATTCCTTATAGTCGTGTCCAAATCACTTTCAACAGCGTGTTGTATAGACTCACGGGGCGTAGTCGGTTTTATCTTATCCAGCTGGTGCTGCGGAACAAGATACATCTTCTCTGCATATTTCAGCGTAGACATTATCTGTTGGCTATCAGGCTGGTTATAAAAGGAACTGCAAAGAGGGAGAAGAAATCCACCCTGCTGATTGATAAATTTTCTTTTTCTTCTGACACCAATCTTTTTATTAGCGATGAGTTTAATATCACTCTTTCTCCTCTTCAGCTTCTGATACTGCTGTTCTGTAAGTGGTATGTTCCCACGTAGTATATTAAGAGCGATTTCACACAATGTTACAATAAGCTCATCTGTGGCTGCCTGTAAAATAACACGTCTTTGTCCAGGTTTAGCTTTTAATAGTAACTTTAAAAGAGACAAGTTTCTTAAAAGTTTAGCAGACATAATTTAAATTTTTTTTAACCCAGGCGTTGTCACTATTTTCTTTTCTGAATATAGACTACCGGACGATCTGAAAGCACCGCTGTTCTGAGACGATACTGATCTGGGGTGTGGGCTTTAAAATCAATCAAGAGATAACCGTGAGGAATACTTGTGGCATCATGATAACATTCCATAAAAAATTTTGTATTCCCAGCAAACATCTGTCTAGCAAGAACATTCACCTGACCGCTGTCTCTAGGGTTTTTAAACAACACCAAATAATTTGTGTTCAGACTTATAGTCCTACTGAACTTGCCTTGAATAAATAGGTTCTGCACTATTTTTATGCAGGACATATTTTTATGGTGTGAATATTGTGTGAAAACACGTGACACTTCTAAGTTATTACTACATTCATCCATTAAATCATCCAGAATCAGTAAATTGGTTTTTTCTGGGGGGAACAAATGATCATCATCGAAACTCTCAGGAATACCTTTAATGAATTTCACATCATACATTTTCAACAAATCATCATAAAGAGGCTGCCATGAATTGTACACAAAAATAACATTTTCGACATTTTTAGAAAACATTTTTTCACAATTTTGTAACAACATTTTTACAAAAAACGTCTTTCCTGAAAATGACGGTCCACTTATAATACAAGTAAAGGGGTGTTGAAATCTGAAATCAAAAACACCTGCATCTTGAACACCCCCATGACCAAAAACGTTGTCAAAACCCATAAGGTACTGTCGAGTAATCAGGGAGAAGTACTCTTTTGGTGTAGACTACCTTAAATTTTTTGACTAATGCCTTGTTGTGCAGTGTGAACTGGGTTTTATTTCTCACTATGGTGTCGGTGTGAGCCAGTACATGCCTGCTGTTATCACGCCCACTAACATAATCATCAACCAGCCCGATCAGTGTGTCTAACCTAATGGCTTGGGAGTTTACAGTATTTAGTGTTATGCCTTTAGCCTTCATACACACCTTACCCTTAGCGGTACTATAACCATATGACTTGGGACCGGAAGATGCAAAGATATTGATATAATCTCCACCATCCAACTCGTCAGTAAGTTCACCGAGATATGGTCCTAGCGGTGGGTCATATTCACCTTCTCTATATGTGTAAATGACACTGTCAGTGTCACAGTATAAGACCCGCTCTCCCAATTTTTCTAGAAGATCATAAAGTTCTAATCGCCCGTAACATGTAGTAAAAGCTCCCAAGAATACGTTAGTGTCACGCGTCGACTTGCCTTTACCGTATGGTTGTGTGTACTGAACGAGTGCGATAGAGTCTGATAAAAAGGAAAAATAATTTATGTCATGCCCCTTTGCAAAAATGTGCCGAGCAAACTGTTCAGGATCTGAAATTAGTTCTGAGCTAGGAAGCTGTGATTTCAAGCTGAAGCGTCCCCAAAGTGAATTAAGAATTTGCTTATTTATGGAACGTCGTGCGGCATTAAATGTTATATTATCGATATTGAGTTTAACCCCCTCTTTTTCAAAGTAATCTTTGACATAAGACTCTTTCTCCTCATCAGTCACTACATCCTCTGGAAATCCGGAACTCTCCTGTTTAAACTGTAAAAAAGTTTTAACATAATCACTAAATAGTGTATCAGAGCGTTGAGAAAAATGCCAAACTTCATACACCTCAGAGACAACATAGCCTCGCTCCACAGCTTTTGACAACTCTACGCTGACCCAACATCCTGTCAGGGCCCTTTCCTTATCAGCATGCTGGCAGGGGGTGTCCTGATTTTGTTCTTCAGCACATGATCTGCAGAGTGGAAACATCAGCCTACCCCCTGTTCTATAGGGCAAAACAGGGTGAAATAAACCACGGGGCGGTATGACCTCTGCTTTGATGAATCCGAAATAATTTTCAAGATTTTCAAAATCTTTAAAAATTATTTTTGGATGCCCTACCGGATAGCTTTTTGTACTTTGTACAAAAGGGTAAAGAGAGGTGATGTCTCTGTAAAACACCTTTTCATCGTCCGATGTTTTGTGGTACAGCTTAAATGCGTTTACCCTACCTCCGAATAATGCATCACGCGGTTTTAATCTTTCAGGGTGTTTGTATGTGGACATGAAATCCATCACACCGACATCTGAATTTTTAGCCGCTTTCCAATCACACTCCCACATGAACTCTACCTGTAAGCCATACATCCGCTGCAAAATTTCACACCTGTCATTAACCTGTCTTCTGAGAACCCCATAAGACAATTTTGATAACGGGTTTATATCGTATGGATTATAACAACGTTCGCATCCATGATAAAAACAGCCTAAAAAATCAAATGCTTTTTTCACACGTCCGTCGTCATAAAAACCATCGACATGATATTTACCAAATGACACCTCGCCGCCATTTAGCGCATGTTGAATTTCTATGGACCGCGATTTTGCAACATATTCTAGCCATTCAATTGAGGCATTTGAATATGTTTTGTTTTGATTTGTGTAGCCGTCATTACGAGTCAGTGCCAATGTATCTTTTGGCAGAAATTTGGACTTGTACACACCCATGCAGCAACCGGCAAGTGTTGTAAAAGTAAACGGGTCGAGATCTGTACACAAAATGAACTCATGACGGTACTTTATGCATGCCTTTCTCAACAGCACAACGTCATTTTTACCATACTTTGCCAGTTCTTTTTTAAAATCAAAGACTTTGCCTGAGACTGTACAGTACCATGCATCAAAGTCTGATCTCTCTTTGTCTGACATCGTCTCATACCCGTAAAAATGTTTTTCGGGGTATGGGCCTATGTAGCAGTCGTTTTCGGCACGATTGAACACATGTGGAAAATAGCCCTTCTCAATATTATCTAGCTGAAATGCCTCAGGGGTCTTGGATAGACGCATTGCCATGAAAAGGTATGAATCTAAAAACCTTTGCTTGTATGTACGGTCAAACATGAAGATCAGACGACAGCCGCGCATTTGTGATTT